TACAGTTACCATGTTGTGTGACTTTGGCATGCTGGAAGATTCAGACTATATATTCTTGCCAAATGTGTTGCTATGATACATTTCAGAGCATTTTAACCCCTATTTATGAATTACGCATTATTTAACAGCTTTGAACAAGTGTTACAATTGTGCTACAGTGGGTCTCTGAGGGCAAACAAGCAAAACTACAAATCAACGGCACTGTAGACTCCTCTGACAGCACATAGTTAATTAAGTGATAGACAATTTGCCATTAATGAATTATAGAGCATAATTAACATACGATCTGCCTCTTACCCGGTTCCCTCAACTTTCGCTTCTTTCAGATGAATATAGTTGGCAGGGAAAATGCCCTTTAAAATAAGACAAAGAAGCATTTGTGAGAACCCACGCAATTCATTCCGCCTGCTGCAGAATGTCAGGTAATGAATAGATTGTCAGTTTATCAGTAGGATGATAATTATCCCGACACCTTTTGTGATTTCTGTCGTAGTGTGTATCCTCGGTACCACCCTGGGAGAAGGAGAGAGAGAAAAAAAGAACAGATCTTTGAGACAGATGATGCCACATGGCAGATGCTGTTCTACATTAAATATATCAGAATAAGGTCGATGTTCTGTTTGTTCAGCGTTAGCAAAATCACTAGAGAAGCCAGGGTAGTTGTAAATAGCAAAATCATATTTACAATAAGAGAGACATGAATGCAAACACTACAATGTCATAATTAACAACTGGACACTCTGTATTGTCTTTAAGCCATGACGTTCTGAGTTGGGGGCATGTAAATTAAACAATCATGGTGGTAGCTGATTGATACTGGTAATAATAATGTTTTCATAGTGAATGTTGCATTTAGTTTTTGCACATTTTGTGTGCTGTTGAAGAAGAACAGCTATAAATCTTGCCAGAAAATAATGATTTAGCCAGTTTATGACGAGACAGGCTTAAATATTGAGATCAGATGTACGTTTCCTTTTAAAGCTTCACATGGACAGCAAAGTTAAAAACCTTGTTCTAGCACAATGCTTGATTGACAGGTGAGTAGGCGGTCCTTCGCTGTTGTCTGAGACATATCAGCACATATTTGCATTTACACTACAAATGCAATGTAGTTGCATGCGTTTCTGCCTACATCCAAGAATAGTTTGAGTGATCACAAAATGTTTTGGTAGCGTTTATGCCAAGCTTTGGGTCGGTAGGATTTTTTTT